AAAAGTCATACGTGCCTTAACATGGTCTGAGTTTAACGCTCCCACTAAAATGATTTTCCACCGCTACAATCTTCTGAGGCTTAGTGAGTACAACTACTTTCAGAATGCTTGTGTAATGTACCAGACTGTCCACAAACTAAACCATAAACTATGTGACCTCATCCCAATCTGTGCTCCTAGGCACACCTATACCACCAGGAATAAAAATGTAATCACTGGAAAAAAACGAAGACTAAAATGTACTAGCTTCAACATTGTGTGCAGAGGACCACAGATTTGGAATGAGCTTGATGAAATACTAAAAATGTCACATTCCATCTCCATCTTCAAGGCAAAACTAAAAATTCAACTACTAGCAATGTATATTTAATGTGCTGATTAATAATTGTATGAATACCTGAATCTTATTGCATCTATTAATTTCTCTTGGTTAACATTGCTACTGTACTTCGCATCAAATCCAATGTAACCATAATACTGAGATTGTCTATTGTTTATTGTGTGTCTATTATCTATCTGTATGTTGTCCATATTATAAGGATATCTGGCCAATATCCTATATTCATGGAAAACCGGGCCCCCTATTAAAAGCTTTAAATAGCTTCCTTGGGGTGACCCTATTCACACATCAGACTGTGTAAAAATACTTGTTGTATACACCATGTATTGTATTGTACTTCCTGGATGATATGTGAATAAAACTAAACTAAACTAAACTAAACTAAACTAAACTAAACTAACGCTTACAAATTAATGTCATATTGCAAATTACATCTGATCAAAAATTTGAAATACAGTGTGACTCAATAACCAAATAACTACACATTGACTTTCGTCCACCATTTTTCTGCGTGACATGACGTCAACTCGGCAAGTTGAGTATAAAAATTCCTGCTGGCTGCAGGGTTAGTTACTGTGACGTCACCCATTGGTCTGTGGACTCCCGTTTTGAAGCCTTGGGTTCGACATTTTGATCATCGCCATCTTGGATATTCTTGGCATATTAGGATGAGGAGGTGGAGCTAACCCTAACGCTAGATGCAAGCTTGGTTAGCATGCTGCATTTACAGCTATGGTTAACTGTGGTAGTGCTAAAAAACAGGCTTAAAACCATGAAAACAAAATGTACTTACCAGAAGAACTGAATATCTGGGACTGGTTGCACAAATCACCTTAATTTAGGATTGTCCATAAAGTCAAGGTTAAGATTTTCTTAAGATAAAATTGGTTGCACAAAACACATGTTCTCCTTCAGGTTTCCTTTAAATGTTCACTGAAGTATTTCAGGTTTTCTCCTTATCTTGGTCTTGTACTTAGGGAATTTCTTTAAGTTAGTTAAACCATTGCACAGAAGCCTTTAGGCGTCAAAAACTCCAGTGCAAGCAGACAAATGGTTACCATGGAAACTGTAAAATTTTACCACTGCGAAATCTCTTTGAATGCAGTAAATGCCTTAAAAAATTTTGAACTAAAGAAACCTTCATGTACATCCCTCAGCAAAGGAAAAA